GCCTGGGGTGGTCATAACGGATGTGGAGATCAGCCCAAACCTGCTGCCCTGAGCACAGCCAGCCCCTGCGAACCTGGAGGCCGTTCACTCTGGGGCCTAGTGACGGCATGCTGCACATAATCGTTTCACTATTGCACATTTTGGGAACGCAGCAACCCTGCATGTCTCCCAGGATCCAAACGCTTCGCTTCCAGGGCTTCCCGCATCCCCCACCTGAGACAGTCACCACCGCCGTGTGTGGGATGCACGGGCCCAGCAGCCCAGGACCACAGCGCAGTATAAAATAAATGGCATTTAATAGGAAAATAAAGGACAGCAACTCTGCACACACAGCTCTGCAGGGACTCCAGGCCGGTGCTCCCTTGTGGCTCCAGCAGCTCGGCGTGGGGCAGCAATGGCCTCCCGCAGCCCCCAGCTCTTTGCTTGGCCCCAGCTGCAGCACTGGGGCAATGACCCTGAGATGGAGCTGGGCAGCGCCAGGCAGGCACCATGGGTCCCTGGCTCAGGGTCTCCCCAGCCCAGCCGCGAGACCCCGCACCACAACTCTTCCAGCCTTCCCGGGGTGCGGGAGAGCTGGAGAAGGGCCTGGTGGGCAGGGCCCACCCTGCAGCCCCACACAGCGGTATCAGGCTGGGGCAGGAGCCCTGACCGCACCAAGAGGCTCCCTCTGAGCCCAGATAGACCGGACCGCCTGCCCCTGCTCCCTGGGCTGACAGTGCTGCTGCAGCATTCGAACCCCGGACCCAGCCTCCGGCTGGCACCAGTGGGGCAGCCTCTTCCCGGCAGCCGGCTCACTGCCGGCCTTCCCAGATGTCCTCCCGCTGCTTGTTCTCCAGGCGCTTCCTCTCTGCAGGGGCGAGAAGGCGGCGTGAGGCCTGATCCCCTGCCCAGGGCAGCGGCAGGGGCAGGGGCAGGGGCAGCTGGGCGCTGCTCGGGCTCCATCTAGCGGCAAGAACCAAACGCTGCGCCGAGCTGGACGCCCGCACCTGCTGCCCGAGGCAGGTGGCAGGCGCGGGGCAGCTCCACCGCGGGCAGCAGAGCAGGGGCAGGCTCCCCACAGCCCCCGGCTCTTCCCAGAGCACTGCTGGGACTGCTGTGGGAACGGGGGGGGGCAGAGGACGCAAGTCCCTGGCACCAGACACGGAAGGGTTAAGCCGGTGCCTGGCTCCGCTCATGACAGGTGATGGGGATGGCAGCGCAGCGGTTTCCCAGGCAGCCTGGCCCAGCGCGCGGCCGCGCTCCATCACCCGTTATCTGCCCGCTGCAGCTGCAGGGCCGCGAGCCAGCTGCCAGCCCGGCGGCAGGGACGGCTCCTCCCCGCGCCGGCGGCTGAGCCCAGGCCCCTCGGACCCTACGCTGCGGAGGCAAGGGCGGGCGAGGCTGCACCAGACCCCACGAGATGGGGGGCTCAGATGCAGCTGCCTCTGGGCAGGGCCCCGGCTGCACGCAAGACGCAGGGCAACAGGCTGCCCAGGCTCTGATGGGGGCCCCCAAATGCCTGACCCACCTACCCACCTCGGGCCTCCTGCAGTTGCTTGCGCTCAGCGTCCCGCTGGGCTCGGCTCTGGCTGCTCCGCACGCCGAGGGCGCCGATCACCAGCCGCCTGGCCAGGGCTGCCGTCGTCTCGGGACGCTCCTTCACCGGCTGCAGGAACTCTGTGGGGCAGGGCAGAGCCGAGGAGGGGGGCTCTCAGAGCTGGGCACCGCAGCCAGGCACTGGGGACGGGAACTGCCCCTGGCCTGGGGTGAACAGCCCTGCAGCGAGGGTGCCGACAGCCGCGGGGCCTTGTCTACACTAGGGCTCCACTGCCACGGGCTCAGGGAATACTTGGGCTGGTGCCAGCGCCCTCCCCCAGCGACCCTCCCGGCCTGGCCATCGAGCCAGCTCCTCTGCTCTTAGACAGTTTGCAAAGACAGGCCCCTGCTCCACCCGCACTCACCCGCACAGGCCCTGGCCTTAGCCTGGGCAGCTCGGGTGCCCTGGGACAGTGGCCGCGTCTTCACCATCAGGTGCTTGCTGCTCAGCGCGTCGCGGGCTGTGGGGAGAGGCCGGGGCCGGGTCAGGACGGGGCAATGCCAGCACCCAGCGGACACCCAGATGTGCGGCACCCGCTGGAGGACGGAGGGGCCTGGGCTGGAGCAGGAAGCCTGTACCTGTGATGGGGCTGGAGAAGATCCCCAAGGCGTGCGAGTCGTCCACCCACTTGACGTCGAAGCCCTTCTTCCTGGCAGGGTAGAGAAGCCGAGCTGGGGACCGTATATGCCCGCCCCTGACGGGCAGGGGTGGGAGGGGGGTACTAACAGCCAGGGCAAGAAGGGGGCCTGAGCTCTGGGGGAGCCCCTGCCTGGCTCAGCAAGGAGGGCTGACAGCAGGGAGGATGGGGCTGGCATTGGGTACTCAGCTGATGGCAAGAGCCTGGACCTGGCTCCCAGGAGCCCTCCAGGGCATGCGGGCAGCTCCGGCCGGGCTGCCCGGGGCTCCCAGCCCGGGTCGGGGATGCGGCGGGGGCCGAGGGGCGGTACGGTGCCCGGGCAGGCCAGGCGGCGCAGGGCACTCACTGGTAGGCGCAGAAGACGCGCAGCAGGTCCTCGGTGCGGAAGTCCTGCGGGAAGTCGTAGATCTCGATGACGTGGGGCAGCTCCGCGTCGCTCAGGTCCGGCCCGGCCGCCCGGGGGCTGTAGTAGTCAAAGCGGGGCTCCTGCACGCCATGCCGGGGCTCGCCCCCGCCCGACAGCTGCAAGGGAGGATGCACGCAGGCCTGTGAGCTGCCCCGCGGCTGACGGGGGGGTCCCAGCTCCCTCCCCCGCCCCACGGGCCCTGGCCCCTGCGCCGCACGGACTGATGGATGGGGCGAGTCCCGGGGACGTGGCCGGACACTGGCGGGGAGATGGATTAACAGCGCTGGGCACATCAGGAGGTATCGATCAGGCCTTCGCACCACGCCTCCACTTTTCCCATTA